CTGAATGTTTTATTTATATATGAATTTAAATTAATTTAAAGTAATTAAAATTTAAAAGTCAGTTCCTGAGGCACTAGCCACGTTTCCAGTACTAATAGTTGCATGCTGCTAGTAGCTACTATGTTGGACAGTGCAGGCCTATATGATCACAAATCATACAGTTACTACACCATTCATGAAAGTTGAAATGCTGGAAAAGCACTGACATCACTCCTTAAATAACTAATGTGAATAAAGTAAATACAGATTAATTTCTCTATAGTTATACAATATTATTAAAATCTGAGAAAAATCAAACCTATTCAACAGCTTTGAAACTCCAAGAGTTTGGACCTATCAAAGGCCAGCCCTCCACCAATTTATAAAGCTACAGGCATAGCCATTTGTTCTGAAAATTCAGACACACAATGTTCTACCTAATAGGAAAATCAATTCAAATATTAACAAGTATGAAGAGAAAAAGTGAGGTCGAGTTGAGGAATTTTTTTCAAAGATATGTTAAAAGAACAATAAAATGCTAAAAGCACAAAGTATTGCAAGTGAAATGAAAATAGCATAAAGAAAACTAGGAACGAAATTACACATCAAAACCTGAAATAAAATCTTTGATCTACACAGAAGAAAACAGGTTAAAGTAGACAAATATAGCAGTGAATAGAAAGCTGTTATTATGTGGCAATATAAAAACTCTAGAATCACTAGGAAAGCTGGATCCTAGGCATGAGAGAGAGAGAGAGAGAGATTTGGAAATAAGTATTGTAATCCCCGACAGTTACCATATGTAATAAAATGGAGTTGAAAAGATTTCATGTCAATTTCTAAGTCATTGGCTTCTTAATTATACAATTTCTATGTGACAGCAACATGAGCAGTAATTACCACTCTAAAAGGTGGAAGCACATGCTTCCCAAATCGGATCATGTGGTAATCCTGGCGTGGAAGGAAATTAAAAGAAATTGCCTATTTCTTTCAGCAGTTTAGAAGTAACTCTAAACCTTACTAAAGCAAGACTACATATTCATCTTGAAGATATATTGTTTAAAGGAGATAGAGATATATCAGTACTAAAGTCAATGCAACCATGACCCAAAGAACCATCACCAACGGAGGTATTTAAACATCTTTCAATTTCAGCTCTTTTCTGTCAAACTTTCCTGGTTCTTGAGGCCCAAGGTAAGTTTGGGTTCAGTAGTTATCCCATCTCAAGCAGCCTCTCTGATGACTAGACTTTATTAGCCTTCCTCCAACCACAGGCTGGGTGGCCCTCCTATAAGCTCTCAGTCTCCACTGTGGTACTTATGCATTAGTCTAATTTCCTGATTGCTTATTTATCTCTATCAATGAATTGTAAGTGTTTGAGAACACACACTATATTTTATTTGCTTTTTAATCTTCAGCACCTAAAATGATAGCTGAACCATAAGAAGACACAGAATTAATAAATGAGTGAATTAATTAATTAATTAAAAATCAAATATAAGTATTCACATCAATGTTTTTATAACCTAGAAAAATGATAGTAATATGACAGGCAAGGAGAAAGAAGACTTTTCTTCTTTTAAATAGGTATGCTACAAAGTCCTATAAATTAGTTACATTCACGGAGAGACTGGGATACAAAAGATTAAAACTTAGCTGCTTATCTTTATCCACCATGTCAACAAAATAATAATGTCTTCACCAATTATTAAAAAAAATCTGCATGCTAATTTTTGAATACATATCTTATAATTTAGCCTCCTGAACTGAAGATACTACTGAGAATTCACTTATAATTGGCTGTTTAAAACTAATAATTAATGTCTCTTTAAACATTTTGATAGAACATTGTCTTTACCATCAAACATGTACCACAGTATAAAAACCTACTTGCTTTAAAAAAGAAAAAACTACAAAACATGATCAACATAAATGTACTGTAGTGAGAATTATGCTACAATATTAACAGTCTCCAACTGTTTTCCAAGAGTCTGAGGCAGTAATGAGAATTTCTTTCAACAAGGCTATAATTTAATTTTTTCCAGGGAAATATTTTTAATAGGATTACTGACCCTTTTAACATTCTTGAAAAGAAAATGAATCCCATAAGCATTCTTGTGTATAACTATTATAAAAATAAATAGAACAGTCAATCAGTGGAAATGGTAATGGACTTGAGAAACTAAACTTCCAAAGAAATGTGTGTAAGTATGCGTGGCAATAACCACTTTAATAGAGAAAAGGCTCAGTGTATATCAACAAAACAACTAAACACAGTGAGACTAATGAATGGCCTGGAAAGGAGCAGGGGAAACAGGAATTTCAGAAGTATAGCTTTAATGTCTTTCTTAAACAGAACTGACCACATTTACCTTGATCAATTCTGCTGGCTATCACTCAACTCTTAAGCCCGTTCCTAAGTCCTGGTTTCTCAGAAGGCATTTACATGCTTCAAGGGAAAAAAAGGACACTTACTGATTTAAGACACATTTTTACATTCACAACTCTTTGTGCTTTAAGAGGAATTTTTTCAGGTCATTAGTTTATAATGTGCACTAGTGCCTAGGGATATTTTGAAAGGAAAAAAAACTAGTGTGCTTAGAAGATGCAGTTTATGTAACTTGGATCATCATTTACTTCAGCTCAATTTGGGGTCCAAAACTGAACCCAAAATGAAGTTACCACATCTGCAACAGTTTCTTTCTCAGCATGCAATGATCATACTGGAATCTAAAAACAAAATAAGACCCCTTTTCACAAAAGTAGTTGTATTATAACTCCCTAAATATATATCAAAGTCCTTGCAAGAAGTTTTTATTCTTCTAGGATACAAAAATAAAGTCAGCCTTATAAATAATTTCCAAAATAATATGAATTATCAAAATGTCATTAGCATACCAAAATTCATTAATTCTGCCAATCTTACCCCTATTTCCACCACTCCACCACAGCCATTCATACTGCTATGTTTGGGTCCAGAAAACATAAACTAAATCATTAGTCTTGAACAAAGCAAGTATCTTCCTAAACCCAGATTCATAGACTAAAAAATAATTTGGTCATTCTCAATATTGAGTTGATCTACATATCATATCAAAACAGATCATTCACAGGCAGCCCCAAAGTTAACTAACTAGTTCCTAAATTTTTCATTTCCATTAAGTGTAAACAAAAACCACCACATCTATGTTTTTTAAGTGTAAACAAAACAGATATCAATTATATTCTATCTCACCTGATGAAAGAAACAGGTTTTCTTTTTCTTTTCTTTTTTTCTGAGACAGAGTTTCACTTTTGTTGCCCAGGCTGGAGTGCAATGGCACGATCTCGGCTGACCACAACCTCCCACTCCCGGGTTCAAGTAATTCTCCTACCTCAGCCTCTCCAGTAGCTGATATTACAGGCATGCACCACCACACCGGGCTTATTTTGTACTTTTAGTAAAGACGAGGTTTCTCTATCTTGGTCAGGCTGGTCTTGAACTCCCAACCTCAGGTGATCTACCTGCCTCAGTCTCCCAAAGTGCTGGGATTACAGGTGTGAGCCACCACACCCAGCCAGGTAAGAATCGCTTTTTCTTTTTTTTTTTTTTATGAGAACATGGTCAAGATACTCAGCCTCTGGAGCTGAGTTTTCTCATCTTTTTTTTTTTTCTTCTTTAAGACGGAGTTTTGCTCTTGTCCCTCAGGCTGGAGTGCAATGGCGCGATTTCGGCTCACTGCAACCTATCTTTTCTTCATTATAATTACTACCCTTCCTTTACATTTCTTTAGGACATATGAATCATTACTCAAATCATGAAGTCAAGTATTTCAAGAACGTCATGACTTCAGAGATTATGACACTCTCTGTTCTCACCCTTGGGTACACATTAGAAGCACCAGAGGAGGTTTTATAAAACACGAATTCCTTGATCCTAGCTGAGCTTTGGAGTGGGCTCTGATGTCAATATGTTCTAAAAGCAAGTCAGGTGAGTCTAGCTACCGTAGCTAGGTAGAGAACCAGTGATCTCAAAAATGTGGATCAATTACCCAGAAAGGATCAAAGTTGAGAGCAAGCTGATGGCAATCTGAAGCAGAACCTAGAAGGAAGATAACAACTCAGATGCCTACAGGGCCACTTAAATGAATGAAGCAGACAATGTAAGCAGACATTTTTAGATTGTGTGAGTGCCAGAGAGCATGACAAACTAAGCAGCTCATGGGGCAAGGGCTCCTGAGCTCTAGCTGATACTGACACGAGGAAGAAACAGATCTTCTCACTGGATCCCCCCAAAAAAACACATATCAAGATTTTCCTGTAAAATTACCCAACTTTCAAATGTTGGCTCAGTTAATAAACACTATCACTGAATGAGGGAAACAAATGAAATTTGAAACTAATGAAAAACACAACATGGGTTTGGCCTTATCACATCCAATCTAAAGGGTTGTTTCCATTCTACAGAAACTACAGCAGCAGCAGCACAACAGTAATATCAATACCTAACATTCAGTAAGTAATTATCATGTTTTAGTCACTACACCAGGAGTTTCACATAGATTATCTCAATTATCCTTTCTCAACCTTTGAGAGGAATACTATTATTATTTCCCTTTTATTCAAAAACTGCCCCTCCCCACGGTCACATGGCCAGTAAGTGGTGATCCCAGGATCCAGAAGTGTGCAGTGTAATTCCATAGTCTATTCTATGCTATTTCTCTTCAAACTTTTTAAAAATAGGCTTTTAACAACCTCCACTCTTTGCATTTGGATTTCTTAAAAAAAATAAAAGGATAATACTAAATGATTTCTCAAGTCATTTTTAGTTATCAGATTCTGTGGCTCTGATACCATCACACTACTCTGGTATTTATATCATCAGTAACATTAGGGCATCAGTCACAAATGCCCTAGTAAGAATTACCTGATCACAGGAATGGAATGAATGCTCACTAAATAGACTTTCTTAATAGGCAGAAGAAGCATAAACTTATGATAAAATTATTTATTGCTGCAGAAAGCTTACTTCTCCATTTTACCTTGTGAAAGATTAGTAAAAGTGTCCAGAAATTCTTCATCATATGTTTGCTCACGATAATTGAGGAATTTATCCAAGACTTCTTTGATTAATTGATCTTCATCCATTATTTCCAATCCTGACATTCCTATTCAGGAGGCCACAGTATCTACAAGACAGAAAAATACAAGCTAGACAGAATCAGGCAGTACCGGACCCTCTGAAAATACTCTGAATGGGTAGGTTGAAAAATCTCAAGGCTCCAAAAGGAAGATCAAGGTAGTTACTAGAACAATGATCTATAGGTCAAGAGACGAGAGTTTTATTCATATCTTTGTTGCTAAATTGTTAACTATCACAATTTTATTTTTTGCTTCAGTCTTCTCATTACTATCTTCTTAATTCATAAGAATATTGTCACCTAATTACATAATTAGAAATTCAATGTCTTTAGAGGTAGGAGGAACTTTAAAGAGTACTTAACTAACTGCCCATCTAATGACAATAGCTAATACTTATTAGTGACTTATTTAGCAGTCACTGTGTGTCAGGTGCTGTTTTGAGTAATTTTTTTGTTAATTATCATAACAGTTCTAGATAAGGTCATAGAGACAGTAAATAGAAGTGCCAGTTCAAGCAGTCTGATCCCAGAAACCACGCTTTTAAACACTTCACTATCTGTCTCTTTATTCATCAGGTGACCTCCTCTGCTTCCCTACTAGCACTGACAGTTGACTTGCCCTGTTTCAACACATCCAGGGACTAGTAACTCTGAACACTCCAAAAAAGCCTTTGGACAGCTCTATTAAAAACTTAAAATTAACCCTAAATCTGTCTTTCTGTACCCTACCCCAACTGGTTTCTGAGGACCTGAGGTTGTACTGAAAAATTTCAGTCTTTCTTATACATGAAATCTTTTCAAATATTTGAACAAGGTTATACTGCCCTTGTCAATCTTCTCATTTCTTCACTGAAACAGTTTTATTTTTCAAAACCCAGCTCAGAATTTCATTTCTCTCTGAAGACTTTATCCTCCCATCTACTATTACAGGAAGAATTAATCTTAGTATATCTGTGCTGCTTCTGTACTAAGGTCTACTGCTAAGTTTATCATGCTGTATTGGAAAGAGTTGTGTACATTTCTGTGTTGTCCATTAGACTCAGAGACATGAAAGGCAGAGTTCACATCCCTTCATCTTTGTATCCCAAATACTTGATAGCTCAGGATGTGGCATAGAGCTGGCAGTCAATCAATATTGAGCTAACATTACTCATCTGCGCAGGTACAACAGTCGAGTACTGCTAGAAGCTGGCAAAACACTAAACTGTACTTGTCCAATTATTTCACCTATGCCTTATATTACATGGTTTCAAGTCCTTAAATCCTCCTGATCAATCAGGAAAAGATTTCACATTGCCTGCATCCCTTTATATATGCCATCCACAACTGAAGACAAGACTCCAGATACGATGAGATTAGACTAACTCACATTCTAAATACTGCACTCTTGCTATATAGCTGGAGATCACATTCGCATTGGTAGTGGCCATTCCACATTGTCATTCATTTAGCACCGTGCTAACTGAATACCTGTCAGCTAAGACACAATGCCTCAATCCAAGCACAGTTTGGACTTCATTTTCACTTATATTTCATCTTGTTAAACTCCATTCATTCTGTATGAAATATTTTTCTTACATAGCTTTGAGAAAATTGATTATCTACAGAAAGCAGACATGTAATTACCATCTAAGTAGTCAGTATAATACATGGGGGACCATAAAAACTAGGGGTTTCTCCAATACTGTAAGGAAAGGAGAGCACTAAGCTTCCTTCTTTCTATCTGAAAAAAGAGTAAAAATATGTTAGCTTTTTCTCCCACTTTTCCTTTATACATTTACAATTTTAAAAATACAAATAGTGGCCAGGCATGGTGGCTCACAACTGTAATCCCAGTACTTTGGGAGGCCAAGGAAGGCGGATCACAAGGTCAAGAGGAGTTTGAGACCAGTCTGGCAAACGTAATAAAACCATATCTCTACTAAAAATACAAAAAATTAGCTGGGTGTGGGGTTGTGCACCTGTAATCTCAGCTACTCTGAAGGCTGAGGCAGGAGAATCACATGAACCCAGGAGACAGAAGTTATAATGAGCCAGGATCATGCCATTGCACTCCAGCCCAGCGGACTGTGCAAGACTCCATCTCAAAAAAAAATAAAATAAAATAATATACATATATATATATAAAATATATAATATATATTATACGTATAATATATAGTATATATTATACGTATAATATATATTATATATTATATGTAATATATAGTATTATATATTATATGTAATATATAGTATATATTATACATACATACATACATATAAAATATATTATTTTATATACATACTATATATGTATACTATATACTATAATATATACTATATATTACGTATAATATATATTTATACATATCATATAAAATATATTATATATTATACGTATATAATATAGCATGTATATGATGTAAAATTATAAAAACCTTTAAGTATCTCCTGACTCTGCCTATTCCCAACCATCAGAGGTAAATGCTGTAAACAGTCTAATGATGGTACTTTTAAATCTTTTTCCCTATAATGTTTATAGAGAATGATAGATTTTTTTTCTAAAAATGGGAACATATTATATGTTATTCTTTACAGCTTTAATTTAATAAGTTACCATGGACATATCACCACTTTAGTATATGCAGATCTAGCCTATTCTTTCAAACAGCTGTACAGTCACCGCCCAGCTCTGCCACTCACTGCAGAGCACTGGGCAAGTTACTTGACCTCTCTGGGTCTCTGGTTCCCCATATCTATAAAAAGGGATTACAACTATTCAGGCCTGTATTTCATTAACCTCAATTCTGAAATACCAAAAAGCTCAGAAAAAAAAATTTTTTTATAAGATAGCGCCCAAATGCAGTTGTAGGCAAGACTTGATTGAATTAACACGAGAGTACTTATGGCTTTTATTCTACTCAACGTTACTATTCATATATTTCCCTGCAGAAATACTAATGTGCTTGCATATAAGGTGCTTTCCCAGAATGAGCCTAGAGCTTTTGTATAATATATGGCAAATGCACTGATTACTTTTCCAAACTCCAAGAAGTTCTGAATTCTGAAGCACATAAGAGGGTTTAAACAAAAAATTGTGAAGCTACACATGCCTCACAAGATTACTATGAAAATGAAGTGAGTATGCATAGCATCTCAAAAAGTCAGCCATGATGATGATGATGATGATGGATCAGTCTTAGTATTCTGTCCTCTGCCTACACAAAGACCTGTTATAACTGTGCCCACTCAACTTTGAAGGCAGTGATGTTACCTAAAGATAAATCAAGATAATTCCTCATGTATTACAACCCCAGATAAAGCATGGAGTGGTAGAGGACTTAGTGAAAATTAAAAGTGTAGCTGGGTACCAACTTAAAACAAAGAAAATTGTTTCAAGCTATTTGTGCCTGAAAAAATTAGATACATGAAAAAGCATAGGTTATGGCTTATGCACATTTACCTGTAACAACACCGGGTTTAGCAATGCAAAGCTGCATTAACTGTGTTTGCAGTAGCTAAACAGTAAATAATGATAAGTAAACTCAAAGGTGGCTATTATTTCACTAAGTAGGATGTATACTTAATTATAAGAATTTCAATGTCAATCTGCTTTTCCAGAATTGGAGCCTAGAAAAATTCCAACAGTTTATTTTATCAATCTCTTCTTTAAAATCATCTTTGATAAGTTACTTCAGCAAACAAATACCAAATAGATGCAGCCGGGTTGTGGTTTCCATTCCTGTAAATGTCTTCTCATAATTCTTTAAGAGCATTAATAGAAATTCTTTTAAACTTCTTTTCCAGTTCTCAAATTGGCATATTTTGAGTATTATCCAACACATCTCAGTAGTACTAAAAGCAAACAATTAACAGATTGTGCCAGCACAAATTCAAAATATTTGTAGACCTTTAATTTTATTTGTGTGGTTATCACAATACACAGATGACATGTTTTTATTGACTTTTTTTGGAGATGGAGCTTCACTCTTGTCACCCAGGCTGGAGTGCAGTGGAGCAATCTTGGCTCACTGCAACCTCTACCTCCTGGGTTCAAGCGATTCTCCTGCCTCAGCCTCCCAAGTAGCTGGGATTACAGGTGCCTACCACCACGCTCGGCTAATTTTTTGTATTTTTAGTAGAAAGGGGGTTTCGTCATGTTGAGCAGGCTGGTCTTAAACCCCTGATCTTAGGTGATCTCTGCCTCCCAAAGTGCTGGAATTAAAGGCAAGAGCCACCGTGCCCAGCCTTATTGACTTTTTAAAGGACTTTTGGAACATCCATTTATACAATTATTGAATACTATCATTATTCAAAATTATCATTATTTGAAGAGTTTAACAATACCCATCTTCAAATTTAGAACTTTTCCATAAAAATACAAACCTAATATTAAAAATCCCCAAGGACTGACAGAGCAGATAATCACTTATCAGACAGCCAAGTGGTTTATGCAAATCTTGGTGGTTTTCTAAAGGGAAGCAATGCTTTTTCAATTACCATTCACATACTTTTGTGTTTTTATCATGAAGTATTTTTCTAAAAGAAAAAGAGAGAGAGAGAGAGACACTTGCCTTCATAACAGGATTGTTTTGGTTTGGTTTTTATGTTTTAAGGCTTTGAGCTCCACATGAAAGACTCAGAACGTCTTGTGATAAGTAAATGTATATAAATATCTCCTGGTAAATCAAAAGTAACACTTTCACAATTATGGCCCCCAGAAGGAAATACAGGGAGCATGCTTTGCTCCTTGGACTATTAAACTTCACTTGAAGTCCCACAGTCCTGGTTAGGAATAGGGTTCACTTTTTACCAAGTCACTGATAGTGAGAAAAATCACATAAGCTCCCCAAAGTATTGTTTTCTGCTATCAAATAATGAAACTAACCGCCTAAGCTAGTTAATGTTACGTGCGCTCTGAAAGAACATTATTATGGAATATGGTACATGAAATTGTCACAACTGATTCAGCACATCTTTGATGTTTACCTTCAGATCCTTGCCTAATGAACTTACTTATACACAATGCAACTTTCAGAGACAAGAGTAGTAGACCTAAAAAAGCA